TTGAGTAACTACCGAAAGGGCAAAAATGAAATAAGGAGGGAGGCATTTTACGATAATTCAAGGGGAAGCGCTTTACTGTTTGAAGCGAGATCGGGCTGCCTTAGAACGCGTAGTTATAAAGCAAGATTCAGTAAAGAAGAAGAACAATGCACATGCTGCGGGAAAGATAAGGAAACGGCGGAGCATGTTCTGATTGAATGTGGAGATATCCACCCAGGTGTACGTTTGGGCACGAGCCTACAGGAAGCCTTGGGTTTTAGGGACAACAATGGAAAGCTGAACACACCCGCGATTGAAATAAGTAAGAGACGGTTAGAGTATTGGTGGCAGAAAATTAGAGAGAAAGGACAAAAATAAATATTGGAAAAATAAAATATGGACAGTGTGCCGTAAATGGCAGAGAACTTAAGCTGAAAATTTACCTTTTTTTTCCATTAAGATAGAATTTATCGAAGTAGAGGCATTAGGCCAACATAAAAAAAAAAAGAAAAAAGTTTTTTTTTTTTTTTTTGTTGAGCCTGGTGGCATACTTGTCACCACCCCGTTATAAAGGGGACGCTCATAGCATCCATCCATCCATCCATCCATCCATCCATCCGGGCGGCATCTTCGGCCTGCCGGACAGCCCAGAGCTGGTCGTTGAGCTCCGAGCTTCTGAGCGCCGCCTCCCAGCGGCGGCGTCGCCGACGGAGAAGGTCCCCCGCGGCTCCCGCAGACGGGTCGGCGGCGGGAACGAGTGAGCTCGAGGCTTCCTGTTGCCTGGTATTGGCAGCCGCCATAGGCGCATCGCGAACGGCGGCCGTTTCTCGACCATTGTTATCGGCGCATTCCCAGAGCATGTGGCGCAGCGTTGCTCTGTGCCCGCATGCTTTACATAGATCGGTAATGTGTAAGTGCGGGTAGCAGTGGCGTAAGACGACCGGGCTGGGGTAAGAGTGGGTTTGTAGTAAGCGATAGCTTACGGCATCGTGTCTGTTTAATTTGTCATGCGGTGGCGGGAACATCGCGAAGCTATAATTTTTTTAAAATCGCCGTTTTCTTGCCATTTCCAGAAAAAGTTTTGCTACCTAGGTGGGTGAAACGAATTTTCCGAAGCACTTCTGCGCGGTATTCAGTGTAGATATTTTGGAACCAGATAGAAAAAGGGTTCCAGAAACTGAAAACTTGAGTTTCAAAAAATCGACTTTTTTGCCATTTTTTCGCGATCCCAAAGCCGCGTTCCCCCTTAACGCCCCATAACCAGATATGATTATGAAGGATGCCGTAGTGGAGGGCTCCCGAAATTTCGACCATTTGGTGTTATTTAGCGTGCACTGAAACCGCACATTACATGGGTTTCTACCATTTTCGCCTCCATCAAAAATGTGACTGCGATGGCCGGAATCAAGCCGACACCGTGTGGGTCTGCAGCCAAAACGCAAAATGTGCGCAGTTCCTTGCCCCGTCTCGAGGACCTATAACACGCGAAGCTGAACGTAGGCGACACTCAGCTGAAAGTGTATAATAGTTCATTTCTCCTCTTCCCGGCTGGCCACTGCGAGCGAGTGCATTGTCAATAAGTTTTGGAATCTAATTATCATTTCTTTTTGAGCCAATTACACAACCATAAGATCTGTAACACGCGATGGTAAAACATGGCAATTACCTCCAGCAATATTCGATCAGGATGCATCCACTTGGTGCCACTGCAGCGGAATGTACATGTGAAGCTAGCGAAACGGCCGTGAGCACATCATGAGCGTAGCATGTAGCCATGTTGTTACGGATCTGACTAGTTAAGTCTCAAAACGAACTTTCTTGTTTCTGGTTCGATATTGATGAAAATTAGCACAGACGCTGAAATTTGCCTTACAGTGCTTTCATAAACATTTCGAGGCGATACCACAAAAACTTACTGAGAGACAAATTAATTCTTCATGAAAGCTCGTGGAGGGGATGGAGAATTCGGATTTATAAAATTACAAAAAATTGTTGGTAATTACTGTATGCACAGCCAAATGGATGCTGAAAGGGGCTGCATTTTCAAAATAATTTTTTTGCAACAATCAAACTTGTAGTTGACATTTTCTCCAGCAACACTGCAATGAGCCCACTTGCACTACAAACAAGAAACCCCATGAAACATTTTTTAGAGAGTCAAATGAAAAACTAAGATTGCAGCCCCCTGAAGCATAGTTGAAGGAGCATTACAAAACAAACAGAATCAAAACCTGTACAGTGTTTACAAAACCGTACAATGGGAAAACTGCGCTTAAAGTTTTAACTAGGCTTGTGCGAATAGTGAATTTTGCGTTTGAAGTGAATTGGAAGCAAACAGCAATTTTGATTGAATAACTTTGAATTGAATTCGAATGGTATGTATGACATAAAAAAAGACTGGAATATTTATCACCACCTAACTAACCTGCACACTAGTTCTTTTGAATTGAAATAGGGGCTTTATGTGAATGCCATTTTTTTTTTTTTGTTCAAAAGAAGTCGAAACAACCTTGAGTAGTATTTCAGTAGGATGCGAGTGATAACCTGTAAAATACATAGTGTTTTAAAATTTATTATAGTTGGAGAATATAAGCCATCATAACAAGCTTAATAAAATGAATTGATTTGAGGGTAACATGTTCCTTTAAAGGGGCTCTGCAACACTTTTTCAAGTATCCATGGAGCCAGTAAACATGCTTGTCGCCTTACAAATTTACCGCCGCAAAGTTTCTAGAATTAGTCCAGTACGAGCGGAGTTCCAAAAATTTGTCGCATGCTGCAATTGCATTCTCCATTCTCGTACCGACGAAATAGCTGGAAGCTAAGCAGGGAGGAATGGCATGGCTAAAGAAAATATGTCGCACGCACCTCGTGACCTTTTTTTTTCTTTCATCAAATATGCAGCTTTTCATTGCGATCGCGCATGTACTCGTGGACAAGCAGTGGCCTCCCGTGGCGGCCCCTGTAACGACAAGCGGGCCTTGCTCAAATCAGCCAGTGGCTGGCTGAAACAAGTGATTTTTGAGATTGTAGTGTCACTTGCCAAGGGAAGAAAAATTTTTAGGTCTGAAAATTTATTGTGAATTACAGGCTGCGTGTTGCGCTATAATATTTGCCTCGCGTATTCTGGTAGCCTCGACTACCGATCCGCAGCGTTTTCTGACCATGTTCTATAAGTGTCGCAGAGCCCCTTTAAATTTGAAGGGGGGCTTCGTGCCAAAGTGAGTTTTTCCTGAATACGCGCTTTCATGATTTAGCACCCCTACATTGCAGTGAAACCATCTTTACAAGTAGTTACATGCGCATTTATATACAGCTATTCGTTTACTGCGAATACTTCTAATATATTTGATAATTTAAATTCGAATCGAAGCGAATTTGAATACTCAACTATTCGGTCGCATAGTCGAAGCATTCGAATATTCGCACAAGCCTAGTTTGAACTTCTTTTGAAGTCTCTGCAACACCTAAAAATTGTGATCTCAGGTTTGTCTTATGATATTTGACTTCTCAGGCATGTGGCCTTTGTTGCCTATATATTTTTCTTGACCACCTTTTTTTTTTTTTGATCTAGAAAAAACGAGTATGAATTTCGAACCAAGTGCTGCGTATGGAGGAGTGGTGTGATGGGCATGACAGAATAGATTGTAAATGAATAAGGCAATATATTGAAATGATTACACATCTTTCTTGTGTTAAAACTCATTAGTATGATTAAGAAACTGATTACACATAATTATTGAACATTTTTTATAGAGAAAGAGGTTTATTGAATCAGAAAAATGGCTCACACCATGATGGCCTACCTAGCCTTCTTTCCAAATAACGAACAGTTATGGGCAGAAAACTGGTGGCACAAGAATTTTTTAGCAGATTATTTTATGAGGAGAGTCGGGCATATCAAAATTTGTGACCCTGCTTCATACATGCTCTTTTACTGCTCTAGCCATGAAACACATCATCATACGGCCGGCCGGTCGCGGAAACGCTAATCTACGAGGTTTTCATTGTCTCGGAACATTCAAAGATGCTCGCGGCTATACAAAGTACGGCTATAAGCATGTCTGAATCGCATAAAAAAGCTTGTTGATAGCCCGGAATGTGACCGTGAAGCACGCGGCCGCGTGTACAGTGCATCCGGCGCGTGATGCACTTGGCAGCAGTGTTTGGTGACAATGCGCGAAACGTGTAGCTATGATGACAAAAAAATTGCATTTTAGAAAGCCGACGCGCGACACTACTAGCGGCTGTTCCAAACAATCCTTGGCAGTTTTGGGGGTGGGGGTGGGGTGGAATAGAATGTGGCTTCCGCTGCGGATGCGTAAAATGCCTGTCAGCAGTAACGAGGAGCTAGCAAGTGACGTGCTTAGTGGCTTGCGAAGAAGCATATTGTGACGAGTGCACTAGTGCGTCGTTCTTGCCTGCAACGTTCGTCTCGCCGTCAGCGGAGTTAGGCCTAAATACGACTGATGATGATGCGGAAAGAGGCAATTGAGGCGAGAAATTTGAACACTGAGAAATGCTCTTTCTTATGAGCTTGAGAAGCTGGCTCCCAGCCGCACCATCGCGAAACTATCATTTTTTGAAAATCGCTGTTTTCTCGCCCCTCCAGAAGAATTTCACTAGCTAGGAGGGTAAAACGAATTTTGTGAAGCTCTTCTGTGGGGTTTGCAGTGTAGATATTTTGGAATCAGATAGGAAAAGAATTCCAGAAACTGAAAACTTGATTTCTAGAAATCATTTTTTTTGCAATTTTTCGCGATACGAAATCCGCGTCCCCAGTTAAACTACGTACGCTTTGTTTGTGCTTCAATGTATCCTTTTATGTACATATTTGCACATTATGATTATTGCACATTATTCCCTGCATAATTCGCACACCCCCTTCTTGGAGCCCCAGAATCGTGAAAAAAAGGTGTGCAAATTATGCGAGTAAATGGCACTACAACTTGCAAGAGAAGCATACAACATCTGCAGATGTTTGAGCTGCCAAGAAATACAAGCAGTGAAGGTGTTCACACCTTGGTGTGGGGGTCCATGAACATCTTGGTAAACATGTCGGTGACCTTCTTGAGGTCAGGCAGAGAGAGGGTGCGCCCCGACCGCAGCACTGACAGCAGGCCCAGCAAGCCCTCTTTGCGGTCTGACCAGTGGATGCTGGACAGATGCTTCAAGATGGTTGGCACATCTTGCACTGGGATGTGGCCCTGCGGACAGAGCGACTGCATTTCTAGAAGAGACTCTCACGTAGATGGCATTAGAATGTTTCTTGTTAGACAAATTCCACAAGTTCCCACCTCATAACCACCTCTGTTGTAGGAACTGAACGAGCGGTCTGAGCAGACACTAGACGTTTCGCTCTCATCCGACTGATCGTCGAAGGCATTGTATCGGTTCTTCCTCGGAGGAGTGTTCTGCAAACAAACATGGCGACGACATCTTTAAAAAGTTCAATGCTATATATTTAAAATTTTATTACACACTCCATGGTCCTAAATGTGTGCCTGCAAATGCACACTGCAATGGGTACAAAAATTTGAAGGTGCACTAGGTTTGCAGAGACCTAAGAAAAATACGATCACAGAGACTTCTCAACAAGAAAGCCATATGTAGAGATGCAAAGAAAAAAGTGAGGCTTGCTCACCCAACATTCCAATGCGTCTGCCACAGCAGCCTCGGCCTCTTTACTCTGTTGCAGTATCTGCTGAGCCATCAGTGGAGCTGTGTGCCCAGAGGATAGAGCACAACATTCAGTGTGGGCATCCTGACCAAATTCATGCAATCGACACCAATTACTATGTGAAACATCCTAGTCGTGTACATTTCTAGGAGGCTTAAAATGTACTTCAATGACCTTCAATTAAAGATAAACAGCACTAACGCTTATGCTTTATCATAAAGAACTGAAAATATATGCACTCTACATTTAGCCAACCGCTGTAATGGGGCTGAAGGTCTTGGCTTCTCACTCCCTAAGCTGTGGCGTCCATGTGTACTTAGACTTGTAGCCAAAGTAAGGTCACACGACCGCCTTAAAACCAGAGCTGTGCGAATAGAAAAACCTTGGGTGCTAAGCGAATTCAATATTGAAGTGCGAGTGCGAATCGAATAACATACAGTATAGACTGCTTATAACGTAAGTCGCGAATATCCACACTATAAGCGGTACCGCACTATAACCAAAACAACATTTTTCAAGGGCCGAATTTGCGCTAAACGGGTTGAACATATAGCTTCGTGTGTCCGAAAATCCAAAGGTGTGATGTGTGCCTGCTAACATTTAAATTTCTGAATGTTGAAAGCATTTCACATCCAAAGACACGTATTGCCAATGAAATGAATGCAAAAGGGTGGTGAGGGGGTGCCTAACAAATGAAAGCACTGTCGCAGAAATTCACAGACTACTAGACCACCTCGATTATGCACATTACATAGAAACTATGTCGAATTACGTTCAGAATTTGACACGTTCAAAGACGCAAACTATTCGAGTTCATGGGCGCACACCTGATTTAGAACATCAAAATCGAATTGCGAACCACTATTTCAGCACTATAGGTGCCGCGCTCGTTTTCATTAACGGTATGTATCCCTTTCCATCAAGTGCGGCCAAGGCAAAGAGTTTCGTTGGTTCGATACCAAACCGCACCTTAGATACACACGATAGCTAGCGATCAAAGCGCAACCAACCCCAATTCAGCCTAGCTTGCCGTTTGATATGTTGTCGCGTAATGCCTGTCCAAAACATGAAGATTTGGCGTCAAAAATATCGCACTAGCAGTGAACTAAGAACCACGTGCGTGATACGAAATTCGCGTTCGCGGCCGGGAGATCAGCCACAACGGTCGACAACTCGCCACGCTTACGTACGACAGCGCATTGGCAGCAAAAGTGAAAGCTCGCATCATAAAACCGTAAAAGGTTTTCAATTTACGGACGACGAAGCAAACCCGATATTTGTTGCAAGCGCGATAACGATGTCTTTACCGGCAGGAAACTGTTAAGCACGTGTAGTTGATAAAAAAGGGATCGCACGTGCCACGTTGAGCGGCCGAAGCTACCCTAGCGACGTAATACGCTGTAGCTGCGTTAGCGCTGGTGCAAAGGTTTATCGTCACCGAGGCAGCCGCCCTCATCTCTTACTCGTCGAGCCCGTGCAGTGTCCCGCGGTCTTTTTTTAATTTTCTTTTTTCGCCTCCGCCCTTTCGTCGGTTCCCCTCAAGCTCCGTAACGACCTGTTGTTCGCTCCCCAGCGGCGCACCCAGCGCACCTCCTTTTAGAAGCGCGCTTACTACCGCATTTGTCACAAACAATTCCTGGCAACCGCATTATAACCGGTCTTTCATCTTGGGGGACTGCACAATAAGCAGTATGTGTATACATAGGGTTCTTCGGGAGAGTAAATAAGACTAGAAAAAGACTGCATTGTAAGCAGTTATGTCATAAGTGGTCTACACTGTATTTTTGTAATATTTTTCGAACATTTCTATAATTTTTTTCAATAGTTAGAAGCGAAATCGCAGGAAAAAAAAAAAAGAGTTGGAGGGGATTACTAAACATATCATTATGAGATGAAACAACATGAAAGTGTTTCTTTTCGCTAGACTGATGAAGCGCTGACGGGTGGTATTTCATAGTTGTATTATAAAAGGCGAGGCCATGCAGTGGCCAAGCTGTAGTACAGTAGTGTCTTGGTAAACGGAAGTACTGCTTTAAACAGAACAACTTCCTCTGAACGATTGGTTTCGTAGTGGCATTTTTCACCTCTCAGTAAATGGAACTGCTGTTAAAGGGAACCCACGAAGTTCCACTAAATGCTGTAGTACATGTTTTGGTGCAACCAATGTGTACACAGCTTCTCCACCTCTTTGAACCTCTGTGCAAGCCCAAATGATGTGGGAGACAAGGTTGTGCTCCCTCCAAGCTAGGAGTTCCAAATCTGCCTCGTAGACGTCAATGTACAAGAACATTTGAAATTTTGCAAGCTAAAAATCTTCGTCCAATTTTTTTGTTTTTCCTACCCAAATGAATGAATGAATGCAGAACATTATTTCAAATATATTTCCGGCGAAGGTGGAGCCCTCAGTCATGGGCCTCTGTGGCCTTTGTCACCTTTCAAGCTCTGTCGACCAGCTTGAGCTCTTCTTCAGGCTTAGGGCAGGACAGCGCAGCCTCCCACTGCTCCGGTGTTGGCGTACAGTTTCTTGGCACTACTGGTGTGTGTTGGCAGGCTTATGTCACGTGATAAAGTGTTGGATAGATCTCACTCAGAAAATATGAGATAAGGGTGCCTATTAGTCTGAAGCTGTCTCCAGGCAACTGACTGCTCTCCGCTGAGGTCTTTGTGGGGAGGCGGTATTTCCTTCTCAGGGCTCTTTGGTGTTCTAAAATTGCTCAAATTTCAGTTCCAGAACAGCATTAATTGAGTCCTCACTTCTGGCACATCTATCATCTCCATGTTACAACCATCGTTTTCTTGAGTCAATACATTTCAGACAAAGACTGAGCCTGAAAGGCACCTTTGCCGCAATACAGAAGTGTAATAAAGTCTGAAGGGGCTATTTTTAATGGGACTGTATTCACCTCAAAAACTTTAAAAATTTGACCATAACTGAGTTTGAAAGACAGCTTTGCTGCAATACCAGCACGTATTGAGGTGAAGCATATTAAACTAAAAATGACCCCATCAGGATTTTGACGTCGACGGCATTTGTCTATTGGAAGTTCACACAAATCGATTATTGAAAATTCCTGTGCAAATCCAATCGAATAGCAAAGACAATTAGTAAGTATTCAGCAGTTTGAATATTCACACACCCCTAAATAAAATCAGTTCTCAAGTTTAAGATACAATTGGTTATTTCCCCATCAGGGTGTCTACCAATTACATTTTTCCAAATTCCCTGACTTTTCCAGGTTTTCCATGACCATTTCAAGCAAATTCCATGACCGGTACGTCTGCTTGGAAGAAACTGCGCACTGGAAAACAAACTCCAGAGCGGTAAAAAGAAATTATGAGGCGCTCATATAAAATGGAAACCATGCTGCTTTATTGCATTCCCTTGTCTGAAAGCATTTTTTACAATAAATAATATATTCAAAGACACAATAATTGTCCCTCGACAAACAGAAAAGCTTGTTTACTTGCATCGGCAATGCCTTCACTGTTTCAAGGATTCAATCTCTTGCTGCAGCATGGAGACCTGAAGCTGTGCATCTTCCATCAGTTTTTGCTTCTTTGATTCAAGCTCTTTCACAAGAGCCGCAGTCCTCTTCTTTTTCCTTTCAGCATCCAATACGTCCAACCGTTCCTTCTTTTTCCTCTCCAGGTCTTCCTTCCATTTGATGTTGGAACTTCGAACCATGTCTATCATCTTGTCTGTTACGTCAACTTCTGCAACACCACCTGCTGCAGACACCTCATCGTACACTAACCTTTGTGCTACAAGTGACTCCTCCTTCACATTTTCCACAAGACATTCCTTGTTCACTGAAAATCCCCGCTCCACGGAAGAATTTCCATGTGAAAGGCACAGCACAATCTTCACAAACAGCAGTAGCTCTTCATGAGAACTTGCACAGAGTTCCACCCACAGCTTCTCCAAGCGCTCTCTTGCACGATCAAATTTTCGCAAACGCACTTGTGCAGTGCTGTTCGAGCACACTTGTACATATGATCTACTTGCTCTCTCTTCTTGTAGGCCTGTAAGGCGCCCATGCTCTATAAGTACTTCAAGTGCAATGTTTAGCTGCTTCTGGCCAGCTTCCACAGAAGCGGCACAAACTGCTGGGTTTTAAGCAACTGGCCCCCCCTTGTCAGCTTGTATTCAGAGGTGATCTTTCGATTATCTTTGCTGAACAGGCCTTAATAAATAAGATGCATTCTTTTTTGACACTTACCACCGCAGTGTGAGATGGTTTAGTGATCTTTCGCAACTCACTTTTGGCGGCAAGGCCTATGTCAAAGGCAGCTATACCAATGATGTTGTTTGGGTTCTCCAGATCAATTTTTATCAGTTTTGAAAATGTGCCTGCAGCATCCAGCTTTTCCTTTAGCACGATTCGTCCCAGCAGTGACCGCAACAGGCCGTCCAGTGTTGTTGCAAGAAAAGGTAGCATCGGCTTTTCTGTCTGAAACTCAGCCAAAATGGCTCCAATTCTTCTGAAACTGAAAGCATAAAGGCCAGCTTTACTGGCAGCATCTCGTCTTTCACAGCCGTCTCGACATGAGCATAGCTGCCACACGCTGGAAGTTTCTTTTCTTTCTTGACATGCTCAACATATTTGACCACATTTGGGAGGACTTGCAGTGCCCTAGCAAGAGCCTTGCCATTTTTCCAGCCAGCGCACTGAGCAAAACTTTAGCGGAAGCAGTATGCTCCCTGTGAAATTGACATAGTCGGCTCGGCGTGCAGGGACGTTTTTGAACAAATTGTACAAGCTTCTAAGAAACACTGCTGTGTTCCGCTTTGTCACATTGTGGCCTGTTTTAAATACACCACTCACAACGTGCAGTCCGCAGCTTCCAATGTCCACAATATTCTGATTTCCATCAGACGCAGAAAACTCTTGCTTCAATGACTTCAACAACTTCAAATTGACGTTTGGACCATCCATCGAAAGTTGAAGTATTTTTGCCGGCTCAATGTTCTCAGTGGCCTTTTTGAAAGCGGCAGCTAAATCTTCTGCGCGAGTGTGTCCTAAAAAACAGGACGTCAGGTAGCGGGTTTTGACAACGTTGTCAGCTGGGTCCCAAAACCTGATCAAAACGTCCATTTGCTCTTTCTGAGCAATTTTGTTCAGGGACTCGTCAAAAGCTACGACCACGTGTGGGACACTATGCAGCTTTGATAGCAGCCTGTTTCGGAAGTACGGGGCTATACCGTAACAAATTGTATAGCCAACTTGTCCTTACCAAGTTGCAACTTCTTCGCGACGTCCCACGTGGGGAACATGATGGGAAAAAGCGCCGCTGACGCTGCTGCTGAACGAAACGATCCATGGGTCGCTATAGTGTTCAGACACCAAACAACTTCTGCTTTCGTGACACATTTTTTGACCAGAAACCCATTTAAGGATGCCTTCCCGTCAGGCGCGACGGCCACCGGTTTAGCAGGCACGCTTTCAGCACTCGTGCTTGGCACAGTCGATACACATTCACTCGTAGTCGTAGCAGTCATGGAACACGGCAAGTTGGGTCCAGCACCGAAAAACGCGCGGATGTTTGTCTGGGAAGCACTTTGCACAATGCTCACAGCAGTTAGGTGTTTCTTGCTCACAGCGTGACTGGAGACAGCAGCGATGCCCATATTGCTAAGCGAGAAAGTCTTCTGGCATGCTGCACAGTGAGCCTTACTTGTATCGTTCGGCACTGCTCTAATCCATGAGGCGTGCTCGGATATTTCCGCGTTCACCCAATCAGGGTTAAATGAACACTTCTTCGCAAGAGGCATAGCAACTCACTGCATGCTCACGGCATCACAAGAAGAATGGCAATTTGGCTGCAGCCCAGGCATCTTGATATGTGGATTGGATTGGATCCGATCTGGATTACCATATTTGCTTTGCTCTACTACTGTTTTTGTATCCCAGTCCAATTTACGCACCTGTAAACTACACATTTCAGTAAAAAAATAATTACGACTCGCATATTCTGTGCACCTTGCCCTCTGCTGATGGCACTTCCAGCCTAACCAGAAAACCCTCAAGCCGAGCCGAGATCGCGGCCAAGACAAACATGCACAATTTTATGCGCGTGAGTAACGTTGTACTCGGAAAGTAGAAGCGCCAGCTATGCACTGCTTTTTTTAACTATGCTTCTGCTTAGCTGTTCTGTGTGGTTTAAGGAGCGATTTTTAAAGCTTTGATTAATGCTAATGAATATTTTCGTGACGATCTGAAAGACTACAGTCAGTTTCCATGACCTGGCCGAATTTTTCAGAAATTCCCTGACTTTTCCCTGACTTTTCCAGGCGTGTTCAAATTCCCTGACTTTTCCAGGTTTTCCAGGTTTTCCAGGTTGGTAGACACCCTGCCCATGCAGTGCATAGCTATAATAGATAACGAATACAAGCAAGCATGTCACTATAGCGAAGCATTTAACAGGACATTTGCCTCAATGAAAGTGAATGCTAGTGTGCTGTTTTGCTGGGATTCAGCAAGCACCATGTGCTGCGAAATAATGTGAAAGCCTATTCATTCACTTGTTGTCAGAGGACACTAGTAGAAATTCTCAAATCGTGCAGCTTCAAAATGCCTTTTAAAAGCATAAAAACCTACGAAGTCTACAACAACAGAGCTAGAAAAACTGCTAAGTTCTACCGTCAACGTACTTGTGGTTGTTGTTTGGGGGTTGTACCGGTCGCAGGCACCACCAAAAGGGCGCCTTGTACTTCCACTGAGACGACGCTCGTACACTGGAAGCAAGCAAAGATGAAGCAAACTTGGTGGGTGTTGTCGATAACATCCTCTGACAGACAGCGTCAGAATATGAGAATATGAAGTAATGTTGGCCTGGTAGCTCAAGTGCTCTTACTGTTATTGTTAGATGTCTCCTATACTTGTAATCATTGTCTGCTAGTTTTCACTACAGTCGAATCTAATTAATTCAAACACCCTTAATTCGAACTTCCTGGTTAATTCGAATTCACACTCGCGCAAGCACTTGTGACAATTCAAACATACGCACTCCGAAAAATGCTCTCAGCACCATGCTCAATCCCGCGGCGGCAACTCCGACACCTCAACGCTGCGCACGAAGGAAAATAAAAGGAAAGAAAAGGCTGTGGTGGAACGTTTGCTCTCTCTCAAATTCCGACCTGCGATGCACCTGTACCACACTTCTCCCTTTTCCGGCCCTGCCACGTGAAGACCCTTCTTTCAATGCCGCGCGCAAAGAGAGAGACGAAAAAAAAAAAAAAAGGAAAGTGTCATGGAGTGTTAGTTCTCTCTCATGCGCCGATGCCACGCTTCCCCTTTTCCCGTCTTTGCTACATAGACCCTTCTCCTTTCAGCGACTCGCGCAAACAGAAAAAAAAAAGAAAAAAAAAACTGCCGTGGAGTGCTGTTCTCTCTCAGATGCAGATCTGCTCCTCTCCGCGTGGAGAAGCTTCTCCTTTCTCATCACGTGCTGGCCACGCTCCGGCTGCGGTGCTGAGGGTAATAGCGGAAATGCAGTCGTCGTCGTCGTTTTTAGAGAGTGTCAGTGCTGGACATTGCCGCCGCGTGCAACGCCTTTTGCCAGCACAATGCTGGAGCCGAAGTAGAAATGCTTTGCAAGGCGTGTGAAATTGAATGACTTGCTGCAAGGCAAACATGCGCAGACGCGCATCACCGATTACTTCAGTTAATGATGGATGCTTTGTGATTTGTGAATAAATGCGAGTCTTCTGAAACTTCCCCTCATGTGTTAGCTCAATGCACATGCGCCACTGCATGGCGAGCCCTCCGTTCATTTAGCTTTCATTATTTCGAACTTCTTTTAGTTTGAACAAGTTTTTGGGCCCGTTCGAGTTGAAATTATAAAGATTCGACTGCCTTATCGCAACGAAAAACAAGCCCTTATATTTCATCTTTTTTCTCGCTATTGCTAGCATGCAATGGTCAATGCGTCTAAGGCGGCGCTGCCACAGCAAGTGGCTGTTGAAGCTAGAACTCCAAGAGCATTTCTCGGTGCACACATGCTGTTCATACAAGTTAATCAGACCACGAAAGCTACACATACAGTACAAGTGCTAGATGATAATCTAAATCAGTCTCAAGAACAAAAAAGCAGACTATTTATACTCGTTAAAAGCAGTGTACGGTCCTTTAAGAAGGCTACTGTGTACCAGTTCAGTTGACATTTTTGTGTGGGTACTTGTTAGGGACCAGTTTAATGCCAGTACTGTCACAATATTCAAATACCGTAAGGTCATTTAGGAGCACCCATCACAGTCAAGTGTTACTACAGCAAGGCTCAGTGCAAGTGCAAAATTTGCCACCCCAAGACACAAGAACAAGCCGCTCACTTCCGGTCATAGACGGGGTGGCTGCAGTGGGTCTTGTCGGGCTTGCCTCACGGCTTGTGCCCACCGGCGTGGGAATGCCAGATTTTCGGCGAACCCGTCCCGTACCATCCGTGTGTGAGTAGGTAGCGTAGCTCAGCCGAGATGTGGGGGATCCAGACCTGCTGCTTGCTGCACAGCATAAAACTTTTATTACATGCTTTCACTTGGCTAAAAAAAAGCAGGCAACCCTGCTTCACACCTTCCTATAATCTCACAAACGTTGTAGCTTTGACAATTTCCCACAGCCACCACACAGTAAAGCTCAACAAATGATCAAATTTCACTTACGCTGTGACTGGGAAACACCCTTCGTCCGACTTCGACTAATTCGTTCAGGCGATGCCATTGTGCTTGACACAGTGTCAGCTCGTTTTGTTCCTGGACGAGCTGAAAAATCCAGGAGGGTAAGAATAAAAAAAAAAAGCCAGTTTCAGAACAGAAACACACAGCTATGAATCATAAAATAAATAAAACGAATAAAAATAAATTAAAAAAATCAGTTGCATTTTCATCACAATGTCTTTCACCCATCAATGAAGGCACTTCAATACCCTGTATTCCTCACCAAATACTATCACCGCACTCTTGACATTCAAAGCTACTTTAATTTCCGTGCCAGCATTTTCTTTAAGCTGCAATTTGAATATCATGCTTTTGCTGGTGTTGGGGACATGGTGCCTTGTTACAGAATCAGTGTTCTCCTTTTAGAATCTACGTTCTTACTTCCTTAAAAAAAACAATACTCAATGCCCTTACTCTTCTCTAATGAATTCTCAAATTGTTCTTGCCCATATCTTCTATCGACATTCCACCAAAATTTTCACACAAATATTTTCATCCTGCTGGATGACACGTGCTGGATGAACAGCTACATTGGCCCAACCCTATTTTTGGTACCAACCAATTTTGGAGGGATTGGGCCAGTCTCATTTCACGGTTTAACGTCTAAAACTATGACATGATTATGAGAGACGCAGCGACGGCTCCGGAAATTTAACGTGCACTGACATCGCACAGTATACGGGCCTCTACCATTTCGGCTCCATCGAAAAGTGACCACCACGGCAGAGATCGAACGCTCGACCTTCGGGTGAGATGCCGAGCCACTGAGGCGAACGACGCAGCTATGATGGCTGCCCACCATAAATCAAAGAAAATTGGGTCTCTGCACAACAGCTGTACGCAACTACTATAACACAACAGTTTAATCCTTAATGCTAGAAAATTAGGAGAGACAGGAAAGAGTAATGAGATAAAGGAAAATAGGATAATAAAAAGAAAAGTAATTTTTTCAGACAACTGTGAACCGCTTAGCCATGCAAGGATGTCAAGGGACAGTGTAAACCCCTCCTATATATACAGCAGACCAAATTCCTGCAGAGTCCTCTTCTCAAAAAGCATTTCGAAGGTGCCTATCGGAGTAGCTATGAAAGCACACTTACGCAGCGATGCTCCTGTGCCTCTGTTTTGTGCTGTGGTGAAGGCACGTGCTCGTGCCCTTCTCGCTGCCCCCAAATCAATGGCGCTATTGGATCGAACTAAGGAAACAAAACAAAATATGCAGCAACCAAGGATTACAATAAAAATATAAAACGCAGAAAAAACTGAAACACACATAAAAAACTAATGAAAAATACTAAGTAAAAAAGATTGGTCACGGCACTAAATACCAGACGGGATTTCATTAAGCAGACTTATTTGTACTAGGGTGGGAAACTTAAGCTAGTGAAGGAAGCCTTGGTGCCAAGCCATTTTCGTGGCCAACTAGCTTTTGCTGGTCGTCTGTCTGGGTAGGGTCGATCAGCTCCCACTGCTCAGTGGAGGAATGGTGTCACGATTATCTCGGGAGCACCTGTAGTGTATGGAGTTGAGAGAAAGACAGGAGTTGGAGGTAGCACAGCAAACACACCTTTATCTTACAAAATGGCAAAATATAAACAAACCCTCAAAGTTCACGCAAACCACATATGTGCAATACTTGGCTATACAACAAGCCATGAAGGTTGCCTTTAGCCCTAGCCAATTTATAGCCACAACGGCATCAATAAAATCACTCGAAGATGCTCGCTCGTCCATCGAACATTCTTACTGTTCGTGGTGGCAATCCACAACTACCACGAAGTTTCCCGTCATCACAGTCCTTGAAGACATCTCTCAGTCGTCGTCGTTCGCCCGCATACGCTTGACGATCCACTTGTCTTCACTTGTAACCCGGTCGACATGTACTCCAGACACTGTCAAGTGGATCACAGCCGTCCTGTGAAAGTGAAGAGCGGCAGGTGTCCTGGGAACTGCTGCTGCAAGGTGCTGCAGGGCCAAAGAGAGTTTCTCGGTGTCTACCAGTACCAACGGCTGCTTTCCAGCACCCAACGTCGCTGCTTTTAGATCCAGGTTACCGGAGCTTTCGCCGCGAGAGCGTCTCCTTCGTTCTTCTTCGTTCGGCGCTCCACAGGACAATGCCATCTCATCTTTTGAGGGTTTTCCACCACAGCTCAAGTCACGCGCAAATGTGCTGGATATGTGCACCATCGCCACATGCCTTGAGCCGTCATGACAATAGACCTTGTGTGAAATTTTTCAGATGTTTGGCAACAGCGAGCTGAGTGTCATTATGCAATTCCATGTGCTGTTGCAGCGTCCTCACGTTTATTGTGTCTTGCGCTCTGATATGGCCGCTCGTAATCCTCGTGTTACGAAAAATAGCGCAACAGCTATGCCTTCCAACTGCCGGCCACGTTTCGAAAAGAATTTCGAAAAGGATTTGGAAGTTCCGCTGCATGTCAGTGATGATGCTTCAGCCAGCCTCTACACAAAGAAGTTGTCTCACCAGCTGATGAAAACCTACGACTTTGCTGTCGAGGCGTACACCTCATTGTCGTGTACTCTCCGGGTCAAATGAAACGCGAACAGAGGCGTGCGTGCACAGCCAGCACTGCGCATATGCGCGCCTGTCAATGACGTGCCCTATGCTGGCCACTGATGGCATGATGCCCATATTTTCAAAAATTATATGAGCTTCATACGTCCGAATCTCAAACTTTTGTAGTCACGCAAATATAACAACAAAACAGCAATACAGCTTTCAGAAGAGAAAAAAGTATGGAGCAGGTTTTGCTGTCTATCAAGGATAAAATAATAGATATTTTTGAGAAGAAATCTCACACACTTGGATTATTCCTAAATTTCAAAAAGGCTTTCAATTCGATCAAAAATGATATTCTTCTGGTGAAATTAACTCAATACAGTATAACCTTGTTACAACCGATCTGCTTACAACAGACATTCGGATACTACATACCAATTTACAGCGTTATGCTGATGTAATAATAATAATAATAATAATAATAATGTTTAATAATTTGGCAGTGCGGCAATATCACATACAAACATATTACATATTAATATAAATACATATATACTACTGCACATTTACATAAATGTACAAACACAAAGCCACAACACATATGCTTTGACATATTTCAACACACACTTTCCACTTAAAAGGCAACAAAATTAAAAACGTGTCTGTATTGCACATTAATGTATGCAGAAACCACATGAACGCCGCCCGCTATTTCGGAATATCTGCGTTGAGCCGCAAACACGAACGGCGGCTCAGCCTTACGACGCATCAGCAGTCGCAGCGACCGCACTGCAAGGGCTCACGGTCGCGCTATTCTAAAGCTCCCTATTGTTAGGCAACTAAGTGATTTTTTTTTATTACGATATGAACTATATGGACACTTGACAAGTTTCTGCCATTGCCGCCACCGCCCCCACGGCGGTCGCAATCGCTAGCACACTTAGTGTTTCAGCGAGTACAAGTGCGGTTTGACTGTGTGAAAAAAGCACTTCTCCCTGGAGAGGCCGTATTTGCTCACACCAGCATTTTGTAGTAGTTCCCCTATATCCGATCCAAAAGAGTTGGCTGCAGCCTTACTTCATATACCATTACAATTCTTCGCTATCGCGTTCATTGCGTTGCATTCAACGCACCATCGTGTTGCCAGAACTAATCAGCTAATCGCGAAAGTTTCCAGCCAGCGAACTCGCAGTGCAAAACGAAAGCGCGTGGCGGGTCGACCTATGAAGAGCCATCGTCCCCGTGGTCTCTGAGAGCGTCCACCAATGCTTCATCTGACATCCCCCTCGGTGACGACGACACGGTTGTCCAAAATTAAGAAAAGCTACAAGTTTCAAGCAATTAATGACTGCAATAGCAACAAATTTGAATGTGAATAGGAGACCGAACTGGGGCACTTGCTAGTTCGCATTTCTTGAAAAGCACCCTCTTTTCGCAAATGGCGCCTGTCCTACGAGCAAAGTAATCTGTGCGCCCGGCAACTAAAAGCAATCGTTCCGGTCAAAGTCGAAGGCATTATTTTGCCCACTGAAGGATAAACGCGCGCGCACTGGCATCTTACCCCCTCCCCAATCTCTATTCGCGGGGCAAAGTACGCGTGTGAGATAAGCACGTATCGGGCATGCCGTTGAGCTGCGTGCCGAGTGCGGGCAGCTTTTTTTTTTTGAGTTTTCATATATTTTTGTTTTTGAGTTTTCATATTGGATATGTACATATACGGTGAATGACGGCTGCGGCTATAAACCAGCCAAGACTCTTTGCATAAATGCTATGGTAATAAAAAAAAACAGCAAAGCTGAACATCGTCAGGGGCCACACCATGCACGCGCAGTGAAACTATGCACGTGCGCACGGCCTTGAAAACTAAGAGCGAACGACAAAGACACAGACACAGATACTATTCGGTAAAGCGCCTTCCATATGCAGCGTGGCTAGGCTTGTGCGAATAGTGAATTTCAGGGTCGAAGCGAATTCGAAGCGAATAGTAATTTTGGTCGAATAATTTCAAATCGAATTCGAAATGGTATGTATGACATATAAAAAAAGGAAATATTTATCACAACCAAACTAACCTGCACGATATTTCTTTTAAATTGAAATAGGGGCTCTATGCAAATGTATTTTTTTTTTCATTGAAAAGGAGTCAAAACAACCTTGATTAGTAGTTTCGGTAGGATCTGAGTGATAACCTGTAAGATACATAACGTTTTAAAATTTATTATACTTAAATCCTATAAACCATCATAACAAGCTTGATAAAATGGATTGATTTGAGGGTAACATGTTTCTTTAAAGGGGCTCTCCAACACTTTTTCATGTATCCATGGAGCCAGTAAACATGCTTGTCGCCTCACAAATTTACCGCCGCAAAGTTTCTAGAATCAGTCCAGTACGAGCGGAGTTCCAAAAATTTGTCGCATGCTGCAATTGCATACTCCATTCTCGATCAGTCAAAAGAGCTAAAAGCTAAGTAGGGAAGGATGGCACGAGAAAAGAAAAAAAAAAAAACACCATGAGCGCCTAGTGACCTTGAGAATTTTTTTCTCTGTTTTTCTTCGAATACGAGGCCTTTCAGTGCGATCGTGCACGTACTTGTGGACAAGCGGCGGCCTCACGTGGCGGTCCGATAACGACGAGCGCACCATGCTCAAATCAGCCAATTACTGTGACCAGAGCCGTATTTTCTTTCTTGGCTGTGACAAGTGATTTTTGAGCTTGTAGTGTCATTTGCCGAGGGAAGAAAGCAATTTTTAGCTTTGAAAATTCATTGTGAATTTCAGGCTGCGTGCTGCGCTATAATACTTGCCTCGCGTGTTCTCGGTAGCCTCAACTACCGATCGGCAGCGTTTTCTGACCATGCTCAATGAGTGTTGCAGGGCCCCTTTAAATCTAAAGGGGAGCTTCGCGGCAAAGCAATTTTCTCCTGAGTAGGTGCTTTCATAGCTTTGCACTACTACATTGCAGTGAAACCACCTTTACAAGCAGACTAATGTACATTTATTTGTTTTTTGCGAATACTTCGAAAATATTCGATAATTTAAATTTGAATCGAAGTGAATTTGAATACTCACCTATTCATTCGAATATTCGCACAAGCCTAAGCGCGGCCCCACATATGAGTTGCTAACTAAAGTATGGCACTGCCAACCGCAAAAGTAGTTTTCTTTTTTTTATTTTGGTTTGGAGTTGGGGGAGGGGGACACACTCCCGCATGCGCCAGGGCGGGGAGAACGGCAGCAACGCCAGCTCGTGGGGTGCAGGCCCGCCCGCCCACCTCGCGCTCACCCGCGCGCAATAACGAGCACTTACTCTTTACTGATGCACCGTGCCGCTTCGCGCTTTTTTGGCGGTGGGACAGCCGCGGAAGATGCGTGTTCATAACACAATGCGGAGTAGCGAAATTTCTAGATTGTCCGTGGAGAAAACATCAAGGTTGTTTCCCGCTGTTACTTTGTTACATAAAGGTCACAAATACACGTGCTTCTATGGAGCAAGGGCGGGGAATAGAAAAACTTCGTTATATCAAGGAATTCGCTATATGAAGGTTCGTTGTAAGCACATATAACTGTATGTATGCACATGACACTATGCGAAATGAAAATTAGGGACAGAGGAAGGGGGGGGGGGGGGGAGGAGCATGCAAAGCAATAAAGCAATCAACCCAGACTGCTGATGCGATAAAATTAGCATTTCCTTTTCAAATAGACAGAGTAGTTAGTTTAGCACTGTGCCTCATGTTGCTCTGTCGTCCGCGTGATTTTTTCGCACTACTGTTTCGAGTTATGTACTACGACCAGCCCACCAGTCTCTTTTTTTTTTAAGTTCGCTGGTTTTTCAAAGTAAGAGGATGGGCAATGGCTTTGGCAATGAGTGCAACGTGCAGTTTATACGACACTTTCTTAGGTAGTGCCGTGATATTGTGCACAACAATTAGCCAATGTGTAATAGGCGGGGAAGTTGCCAGCATCACAAACTCACCAGAGGCACTCCTGGTGTTGTTGTAGACTGGCACACCAGACCTCGTCCGTCCCAGAGTTGCGCTTCCACTACCAGGCCTGTTCACACACACAAAGGTAACGACACAGATAAACAACAGTATTCATGTGCAAACATACTGCTGCAGCAAAAGAGGTTAATGTTTGCAGAAAAAAAAAAAAAAACAGTCTTTCCTGCAAGGCACCATATTTTCTCGCACCTAACCCCCACCAAAAAATCGTCTGAAAGTGGGGGTGCGAGTTATTTGCGAATAATCCGGAAGCAGAGGTTGGCTTATGGCAATGCATGGCCTCCTGTGCAGTCCGCATCCCTATCGGCATCTTCTGGTGCAAAGCCAATAAAAGCCAACACAGGCCTTAGCCAGATCTCCTCTGTAGCTTGTTTATTCACTTTTTGCCTACTTTGTTTGATTTGGTCATTAGCTTCACAACAGCGATTAGACAGCGTCCTTCTCAGAGTCGGGTGTGGCCAGTTTGTACTGTTGGTCAGCCTTGTCTGGTGAGGGCACCATGAGTGGGTCTCGGCGGCAATCTTTCACCGCGGAAGAAAAACTCAAGAGTGTAGCTGCTGCGGAAAATATTGAAAACAAAGCTGCTGTGAGGAGGCACGACATCGAAGAGTCCTGCATTCGCGACTGGAGAAAAAAAAAATGGCCCCGTAGCTGCATGTAAATCTAGAAATGTCGTTGAAAGACGATAGCCTTGCGTGTGAAGAGAGTGAACAATTTATTTGATGTTCTGCGCAAGGAGCGTGCAGCGGAGGCATACGAGCACATCAAGTGACGTCACACGTAAGACATGAGCGCCATCTGGCAGTTTTTTTTTTTTGGAAAACAAAGCGCGTGGCCCTCAGACAGGTGTGCGTGCCCATCTCAGGGGTGATATGATGTAGAACGCAAGGCGACGGGTAGGGGCCACCACCGTGTCTTCTTAGCAAAGCGTTGGAGACACCTTTCCGTGCAAGCGATGCATGGTCAGCGCAGCACGATAAGCGCTACGGTCCTTAGAATCACTTATGTATGCCTTCTCTAGTAGAAGACGAACATGCAGAATATATACGTGTTGTTATGGTGCTCCAGACATGCACAATAATTGCTTATTAATTGACAATTGCACAAGTATGAATGCTAAATCTTGAGCAACATAGGTGGGCGCTGTGGATGGGGTCAACGGTTTCAAGTACCAAGTGCCGTAGAGTAGACAAACAGACAGACAGACAGACAGACAGACCAAAATTTTTGCTTCGAAGGTCCCAAAAAAAGGCCTCTCTCAAAAGTGCACGCAAAGAGAAGCGAGAATTTCGCGGAGATGGCGCAAATGGAAGCGCTGAGGTTAGCCCGCAAGATGAATATCTGACGCGAGTTTTGTGCGAGCCATAGATGGCTCCAGCAATTCATGGCCAGGCACGGATTTCCGATGCAGCGCCAAACGACTGTGTGTCAGCGGCTTCTCAACGACTACGAGGATAAGCTGTTGAGCTATCAACGTGAAGTCACCGGGCTGCAGAAGAAGCACAACTACTTGCTTTTCGAAATGGGAAATGCTGATAAAATGTTCGTGTTCGAGATGCCCATGGGCACTACCCTGTAGAAAAAGGGCTTAAAATCTGTAAGCGTACTGACGAGCGGAAACGCCAAACTACGCTGCACAGTAATGTTGTGCACTTTGGCGGACGGTACCAAACTGCGCCCGCACGTAATCTTCAAGTGCAAAACACTACCCAGCACTCCACTGCCACCAGAGATTGTTGTGAGAACCGAAAATAATGCGTGGATGAATGGTGACCTCATCTGTGACTGGCTTCGCACGATCTAGGAGAAGCCAGGCGCCACGCTGGCACGGCAGTTCATGTCGGTGTTGGACTTGTTTGAAGGCCACTGCAATGACGCAGTGAAAGCGCGCCTCACTGACTGCCGCACAGACCTCGTGATCATACCCGGTGGCAGGACTTCCAAGCTACAGCTACTGGACGTATGCCTCAATAAGCCGTTCAAGCGGCTGTATGCCGAGTAGATGGCCGACGGCCGTTACACCCTGACATTAACTGGGCGAGTGCAGAGGCTAGACATTGCGCTGCTCTGCCAGTGGATCGTGGATGCGTGGGGGGTTATTCCGGCTGACATGGTCTGCAAGAGTTTCAAAACGTGCGCCACCACAATTGCTTGGATGGCACCGAAGACAATTGCGCCCTCAAGAGCAGCGACGAAGCTTGCGATGGCAGGAGCGACAGCGGCGAGTCGAGCGATGATTGAAGGAATGGGAATTAGCACCGTCAACGTTGCGGCGATCGCTTTAAAATAAAGTTATTTTGTTATTGAGATTGTGATATGCTATTGCTGTGCAGTTGAGACTTTCCAGAACAGCTTTTTTTTAAAGGGTTATACGTGAGAACTTTTTTTGGGAGGGGGAAAGGATTCAAAATTAGGGGTGCAAGTTATGCGAGTTTATACAGTTAAACCTCGTTATAACACTTGGAGGGCCGCCACTATTTGCTCGTTATAACCAATATTTTGTTATAGCTGTAGCGGGCATTTACCGCAAATATTGTGCACTGTACTTACCCCAAAAAAATAGCGGACGAAATAGCATCCCGCCGCACGGTGGTATGCAACAAGATAACCGCATTCCCAAATAAAAAGGAAAAAGTCGTGCACCTGTTTTAATGCACTTCAAAATACACAGCTTGCATTTCAGGCAGACTTAGCTGCAAAGAAGTCCGTAATTGGACGTTGATGCATCTTCCTGATGCGAACGATGGCTCGCTCAGCTGCGGCCGCAATGTTCAAGCCATCTTCGCCGCCCTCGTGAGCGCCGAAGTAGCGGTGCAGTACGTCCACCGCGTCTAATGCCTCCGGCGTCGTCGGAACGTTTGTCTCCTGTTCGTCGACAGAGTCATCGTCACTGGTTTGGTTACAATCACTGACAGCGCGCACAATATCGTCATCCAGGAGCTGCTCCGTTGCCACCACTTCCGAGTCCGCACTCACATAGTCGCAAAACGACTCGCTGTCAAGCACGACACCGGCGTCGCGAAGTGCCGTCCATAATGCAGCGACTTCGTCTGATGTGGCAAAACCGTCCGGCACAGTGGGCTCGTCTGATGGCTCATCGCTGGCGTCTGGTGCGGCGGCAAATGAGGCGTGTCAAAAGCAGTTTGCGATCATGGTCGCCGTCACAGTCATATCCACGCCGCCTGAATCATTTCAAGCGCAGCGTACAAGTCAACATCGGTGTCTCGCTTCATTCTCATGTTGAGCAGGAGCTTGTCTATCACACGCTTGCGCTAACCTGCCTTCAGCTACATAATCACGCCTTGGTCGAGCGGCTGTATTTTTGCTGTGCAGTTGGCAAGAAGGAACGGCAGCTCGATGTTTTGAAGCACGGCAGCGTTATGGTGCGCGGTGCAGTTATCTAAAACAAGGCACACCTTGCGGTTCGCCTTTGCCAGCTTCTCGTCCCATTTGCAAAGCCATTTTGAAAAAATCTCCCTGGTAATCCAGGCTTTGCGATTGGCTACGTACTTGACTGGGAGCTGCCTCTTCCCCTTAAAGCAGCGAGAGGATGCACTTTTGCCAATTACGAAAATTGGCAGCTTCTCAGAGCCGGTCATGTTTGCACAAAGTAGCGCAGTGATCCGCAGCTTACTTTGTTTGCCGCCATGGCACGGCTCGCCTTTGAGGGCTGTCTTGTGCGGCAACATCTTCAAAAAGAGCGGTTTCGTCCGCGTTAAAAATATCCTCTGCGCTGTATTTTTCTAGCAGCCGCACGATGTTTTCTTTCGCCTACTTGGTAGCCTCTGCTTCGTCGACAGATTGCGATTCGCCGCAGACCGCTCTCGCGACAATGTCGTGGCGCTCCTCGAAGCATTGGAGCCAACCCGAACTTGCTACAAAGTTGTCATAGCCCACGATGCAGGCAAAGTCTCTCGCTTCTCTTTGCAGCAAGGCGCCGCTCACCGGCAGATTCACGGCCCGCGTGTGCAAGAACCATTCAAAAACGGGCCTTTCGACCGCTTCAAAGGCAGGTGCCCTCATCCTCTTAGCGCTTCCTTTCACGCCACATGCAACAGCGTCGATGATGGACTCCTGCTTGCTCAAGATGGTTGACAGTGTGCTCATCGATACGCCGAAGTCTCTTGCCACATTGCCTTTCTTGGTCCCCGATTCGACGGCTCTTATCATAGCAGCCTTCTGATCTAGCGTTATGCGCTTTCGCTTCCCGCCTGGCGCATTCATGTTGCTGGAATCACGAGCGCAGCACGATAAAAGATAAGGCGGAAGCGGTCGAAAAAGAGAAGAAACACGCACGCAAAAGCAACGCGGCTCACGTCAGCGAGCGACAACACTTGAAGAGAAAGTGGTGACTGTGAAGAGGAAGGGGCAGAAGGGGTGCTCTTTTGCGCTGCCCTCTAAGGAACCGGTTACTCAAGGAGAAGGGGGTATGTAAGATTAGGAAGCGCGCCTCAGCGCCATGAGAAAGGGGAGAAAGAGAATATAAAGAAGACACAAAAGAAAAGAAAAGTTTGCTATAAGTTTGCTAGTTTGCTATGAAAGTTGCAAGCTTGCTATGAAAAGAAAAGTTTGCTATAATGACTGTATTCGGTTCCCACTGTCGTGTGTGCACTATGAAATCGCCTTTTCTTTTTTCTTGTTATCGCCTGTTAACTTCAACTTATATTGCAAACCGCGTCATATTTTCATTGTGCTGATACGCTTTGTAACGCGTGAATTAATTTTGTGTGATCTGTAAAACTTCACCAATTACCCCCCTTACTCAGTGCCCTGTAAAGGGCCTGTAAGGAATTTTAAATAAAAAAAAAAGGGCGAGATGTTCGAGGAGCTGCGGAGCGCTCCGCTGTCGGTGGTAGCCAAGCGGCGCACGTGCAGCGACCTCTCCTCCGGAAACAGCGCATGCTTTGCGCGCGTTGCTGGAGGGCGCGTGGTGGGAGTTTTGAACTGCTAAATACAGTTCTCGCATTGCGCGCCGTCTCAAATTCGCGTTGTGCACTGTCGTGACATCGGCTCAAAATTTTACTTCCTAACCAAATTTGTTCGTTATAT